TGTTGCATTGCATACATATGGCACGGCATTGGTGGTTACTTCACATATTTATTTGAGTTAATTGTTTTGGTTGCAGAAAAAAATAGCATGTTTCATTCGGATCAAAAGTGACTTTGTTCGACTCGCAAAATTTGCTTTCGCTCGGCTTCGCTAAATGCTCCGCCACGCAAATGCAAAATTCGCTTGTCAAACAAAATGTCACTTTTGATCCTAATAAAACAATCTATTTTTATACAAAAAAAACGACAGCTTCATGTTTAAAAATGGCGGTGGAGCGCCATCTTGTATTATTTTATAAATAATGCACTTCACCACGAAATTGAATAATATTCGAAAAATGTCATTTTGGTCATTTAAAACCTAACCAAGAAGTCGAATGGTGCCTTCAATGAAGTTTGCAAAAAAAAAATCGAGACCGCGACAACGATTTTGTCAGATTTTTTCCAAAGCGAACTTGATTGAAAGCAACATTCGAGTGTATAGGATGAAGCTGCTAAAAATTTTGAGAGAATTTCGAAAATAATAATCTACGGGGCGTTCCTTTTTAAAAATAATTCCAGATGACGCTCAGTCACCATTTCAAAACTTTGAGCTGTCGTTTTTTATGAAAAAGTAGGTTTTCGTCTCCTATATGAGCTCTCCAAATTTCGTTGCAATATACCAAGTGGTTCAAAACTTGGGGGAAAACGGACTTCAGACGGGCACACACATACTACAACTGTACCACCAGAGGGACACATTCATAGAAAAATTTCTCATCCACGTGTATTTTGAAAAACTAATGATTTTTTTTCAAAATTCCAAAAAAAGGGGCCTGTGGGGTTAATTCTTGCCCGACAAAATATTGTGAGATATACACATTATCAAGTACCATCAGAGGAACACATCCATAAAAAAACCCCATCCAAGTGTATTTCGAAAAAGTTATGATTTTTTTTCTAAATTCTGAAAAAGGAGTATGTTGGGTTAATTCTTGCCCGACAAAATATTGTGAGATATACACATTATGAAGTACCACCAGAAGAGCACACTCATAGAAAAAAACTCCCATCCACGGGGGTTTTTGAAAAAGTTATGATATTTTTTTCGAAATTCTAATAAAGGGGGCCTGTGGGGTTAATTCTTGTCCGACAAAATATTGTGAGATAAACACATCATCAAGTACTATCAGAGGAAGACATTCATAGAAAAAAACTCCCATCCACGTGTATTTTGAAAAAGGTATGGTTTTTCTTAGAAATTACAAAAAAGGGGGCCTGTGGGGTCAATTCTTGCCCGACAAAATATTGTGAGATATACACATTGTCAAGTACCATCAGAAAAACACAGTTATAGAAAATTCTGAAAGAGGAGGCTGTGAAGTTGATTCTTGTCTGACAAATTATTGTGAGATATACAAATTATTATAGACCCTCAGAGGAATTCATTGATGGAAAATAGGTTCATCTATGGACATATTTTGGAGGTTCTAGTAATTTCATGGCCAGCCATGAATATAAATTAATAATTAACGACCATTGGTGGTATGACGGGCGCCTGGAATATTAGGCGAAGTCGTGGCTGGAACTCGTGGCTGGTTTCACACTGATACACTTTGCCTGGTAATTAATAATAATTGGCAATGCTTCTGGATGATAGATTTCTATATATTCCATGCCAGTTCCTATTTGCTCTTGACTAAGTGTATTTCCTCTGAAGCGATGATCAAGCAAATTTGCCAAAAAATGAGCTGGGGTCAGCCATTTTGTTACGATCCGCTCCTTGACTTTATTCCTATCACTTTACTGAAAATTCTCCATTTGCTTGTTCAGTCTCAAATGCTTCTAATAGTTCTAGCCATATCTCTGTAGCCTCTCTTATAGTGGAAGTGTTTCTTTGGACTTTGTCAAAAGCAACTGCGATATACTTCAATTTCTTTAAATATTCTTGGGCATTTGTCTTTAAATTGGTTTCGTTTACAAGCTTTATTATATCTTTATCAATATATCAATACTTATTCTGTTGTTTGAGCAAACGTCGAATAATATTGGCCAGTTTATCAAGTTACATTCCAAGCAGTACGATAAAGTATTCCAACGAACATTCTGAGGCAATACAAGAGAGCAGAATACGATTTTAAAAAAACGACACGTTAAAAAAAACCGTTTAAAACAAAAAAAAACATGTGTTTTGTATAGAATTAAAAAATACATGTTCTTTTTCAACCCTGATTCAAATTGACCTACAATAAGTGAATCAGCTTCACAGGCGCGTATACAGTTTTGTTCCATGGGTTGGGGGTTGGGGCTAATTCGTGGTGCGAGGGGTGACCTAAAGCAGAAAAGCGCCGCAGGCGACATTTTTATGCTGTTAGGGTCGAATGCCTTCAAATTGATAGTTTGGTTTGTCAGCGGGGTTTCATAAAGGTGGAAAAAATTATTTCACATTGGAAATTTAATATTCCTAAAGGTAACAAAAATCTGATTGAGAATGTCAAGTTTACTTCGACCAAAATGCTTGAGTGTAAGTCGGTACGACAATTGTTGATGAAGACTCTCAAAATCGCGGCATTTCTACAGATTAGATACTTTTCTGCAACGCAGGTTAGAAAAAACATGACATAAACACCATCAAAAATGTGTATAAAATTTTGGTTGTCATACTTCCAAATGTTTCTGCTTTGTCGCTGCAGAAGTTAGGACCATTTTTTTTTTCTGTCATAATGACAAAATTCAGTGGCTTACGGGATTCTATATACATAAATTAGATTGTCAAAATGAAAAACGAACTTACGCTCTGCAGTTTTGACATTTTTCAGTTTTAAGGAACACATAGATTAGATACCTACTACTTAGTTACGTGTTGAATCAATTGTCTTTGATCGTCTAGGGAGGTAATTACCCCCATTACCCCACCTTGTATCACTCCAAGAACTAGTACCTACCAAACCAAACTGAGAATAATGTGAGAATATGCCCAGTGTTGCCATCAGAAGAAAAAAAGCTAATTGTACTGAAATCACTATTGAATTGTACTAAAATCGAGTGGAATGTACCAGACATGAAATATTGAAAAAATCGATGAGAAAATTGATGAACAGTAATTTTTATTTCTGATTGTCAGAAATGACTTCATTATATATATAAAGGTGTAAAAAAGTAAATAAAATGAAAAATGTCATATCAAGTACATAGCCAAATATATACAAAACATATACAGTGTCATCCATAAAAAATGACTAGCGTCATTGAATATATAGAAAAATCAGAAAAAAAATATCTCCCATCGGTGATATCCTTGAATAATAGCTAAAATTATACACAATATATGCAGCATCATCAATGATAAAAGATGACTGTACATCAAATATTTGAAAAACCATCAGAAAACAGTACTTTACTGACAGTAGTGACAGTTGAAGTTGATGATGTCTCTCATTATGGTCAGCCAGCTGGTTGGCTGATATCTATAAGCAGCTCAGTCAGGCAAACTGAAGAGATAATAAGCAGATAGATGATCTGCCAGTCATTCATACTTTTGTTTTTATTTGTAGCTACCACTGAACTATAACCCTTTTGTAGGGTTATGGTTTAGTGGTGGCTACATGTAATAAATGTTCAATTATTGTACTAAACATGAGCTGAATGTACTGACCAAAACATGAAATTGTAGCAGAATTCGGTGTAATGTACTTGATGTACTAAAGGGTATGAATTGTACTGAATCTATACAAATGTACCAGCTCTGGCAACACTGAATATACCTATCCATAGACCATAATAGTGAAGAGGGATGAATTTTTTGGGAAAGCCTTATGAATAGTAGAAATTCGGTGTAATGTACTTGATGTACTAAAGGGTATGAATTGTACTGAATCTATACAAATGTACCAGCTCTGGCAACACTGAATATACCTATCCATAGACCATAATAGTGAAGAGGGATGAATTTGTTGGGAAAGCCTTATGAATAGTAGAACTAGAGGTCAAAGTAAATTATACCACACCTATTATCCGCCATCATTGTGCCAATGCACAAAATGCCGCGCTTTCCGAGAGCAAGACCGAATACGCACGCGTAGATCGACCAGCAACATAACATTTGAAATTTTGTTGAAAAAATAAATTATTTCACCAATCACAAATTCCTATGAAACAATAATAATTGTTAACTCTTATTTTTTGTCATTATCAAAAACGATTGACTAGCTTAGCTCCTAAAATAAGAAATTTAATGGCGTCGCATTATTGCTCTTGTGTTCTCATTTTCTTTCATTGTTTTTATTTCAATACATCTCTTCCTATTTTCCGTTACGAATCGAGAATTTATTACTAATAAACATGTTCATAATGAAAAATCCTCAAGATTATAGTAAGTAATTTAAATAATTCAACTAAAGTTTTGACAAGTGCAGAATTTATCACCATTCATTTCATTTCGGGGATCATGATGCCAAGATTCATAGCACAATAACTTTTATGTTAACAGATATACTAAATTTATATTTGCCTGAAAATATTACTCGAACCCTTATCTATGATTTGTTCCAAATATATTTTGACCATATCAACTCTGAAAATACGAAAAAGTAAAATATCTACATCATGCTGCATGACAAGCCTTGATATTGGGTAGGTACAGTCGAACAAGAACACGAGTGATTTTATTTTCAACCGAAAAATTGTTAAATAAGTATAAATCGAGGGAGAAAAACACCTACGAAAATCAGAAATAATTATCTACATCGATTTTGTCCAAAGCATTTTCCCCTGTGAAACGTAATAACGTCAAAAATTTCAATTTCAATATCGCACCAAACAACTACTGCTAGCATAGCGTCATTCGGCCATTGTTTTGGTATGTGCACGGCCAAGTTGGAATCCGACAAGAGTAAAATGCTCGATTTCCACTGTTAACCACCAAAAATCCATTAAGAAAAATTGTTCAGAAAAAAATTACAACCCAGGTTTTATGAATTTCATCGTCCAATATTCTAAATTAGTAAGAAAAACTAGACTTACCGGCAATTTCTTTGCGAAGATCTTCTTTCGAGATGTCTGCCATGTTGCTAGAGTGAGAAAGAGAACGGACGAGAGAGACCAACACAGTACACAGAACGAGCTTGGCGGGACTGGGCCGAGCAAATTTGCAGCAAGAAAAGGCCGACTACCTGTTTCAGTCCCCTTCCACTGAAATCGTGAAAGAGCCAAAATAAAAAAGACTAGAGAGCGATATTGAATTCTGTTGAATTGAAAGTAAATTCTATAAAGATGGCACTCTATGCCCTTTGGAATTTTGGATGCTTCAACGCAGAAATACCTAGGCTACAACTTTCAAATTTCAAATCATAATCACAAAACGTAATTACAGGAGATCGGGATACCTATTGTTCAAATAAAGGTGTTCAAATCGAAAGATTCTTTCCTTGAAAATTATTATGCATAGTAGGTATATAGATTTGAAAAATAGATATTATCCTTCTATTGTAGATGTGAAAGTGTATATTGATTGATTTGTAAATGTAATTTCTTGTCAGTGTTGCCTCTCCATCTATAAAATTTTGAAGGAAACATGCAACAGGCAACAGAGTGAATGAGTGGACGTGGATACTTTCCTAATTCGAATAAGTTCATCTATTGATGCATAGATGGACAATCGATCTAGAGAAATAAATCAGTAATTCAGAAAACTTCCAATAATGGGTAACATGCCCTAAATGTAGGTAGAAGGTATGTAGTAAGTTATGTGTCAACCATCAAAAAATGCACAGTTTGAAAAATCATAATATATTATTTGTCATATCAGTGAATATGCACTCTATCGTATAAAGTCATTGTATTACGTGGTATTACAAAGGATGTGTATTACACTTACATAATATAGGGTCTTTTGGATAGTCTCTGTATTTTTAGTCACTTGCTACATCTAGCGATATTTTATAGACCTTTGTCATATCCAAAGTAAGCTGTGAAAGTTATTAGTTCACACTAGACTTACTAGAGTTTCACACCAATCGCACTCAGTTTCATCATTGACTAAAAGATGACGCTGTATGAAGAGAAATTCAAGGTTGGTAGAACTGATGATATTACAGATATGAAGTTGGCACCTAATCTAAGCAGCCAAAATCACAGAATAGGTTATCACGAAAATATTCGAATGATATAGCCATGGGCGTACGATTTGTGGATGTATACTTTTTTCAGAATGATACAAAGTGGGCAAAACTCTAAAGCGTTCTTACGGGTTGCCTAATTGTCTATAGAATATTTCTTATGAAAATATCGACCAAATAACTCTACTAAGTGTATCTCCGTCACAAGATTTTTGCTGATATCAGTGAAATCATATGGTTTTACTGAAATAAATCGACACTCGCTCATCGCACACCCATTGAAACATAACATACCTAGGTCAACAAAAAGTTGTCAATTATTTTATATGACTCACAAATTGCGAAAAATTTCATATCTGGAATACCTGCTGCAGGTACCTATATAAGTATAGGTCCATATACACAGGGTGGTCTATAGGTTAAATACATATCATCATACATCTAAACGAGAAAAAAACATAGCATTATATATTCGAAAGTTATGAAGATTAAATAGAATGTTTCGTCTATATATGTGCTAAATAGTCTGAATTCTTTCTAAATATGTCGTATTATGAATGGAATTCTCAAGAAGACTCTCGCACGAGACACAAGAAGTCATGCACGAGACTCGAGACGAGACCAATAAAAATCTCGTTTCGTTTTGTCCGAGTCTCGTCTCGAGTAATGTCTCGACAACGACGAGACGAGACCATGCGAGACTCTCGAATACGAGACTCTCGCGGGCACCACTAACCCTGACACCTCGATTTTTGAGTTCTCGATCATCAAAAACAACAACTTCAATAATATGTACTTCATAAAAATTATTGAAAGCTACATACTATTCACAGCCTGTACATAACCTCATACCCTTTTTGCAAACCTTCAAATTCAAATAGAAAGTATCTAAAAAACAAATCCATATTAATCAACAATTGTAGAGTTTTTTTGTTCTCTGTAAGATGTAACGAAAAATCTCACGGTTGTGAATTTTCCTTCCTTTTCGATGATACTTTTCATGTACCTCGTATAATCTGTTCTTCGTTAGTGTTCGTTGATTGGTTGGATAGTTATTGACGTTCAACAGATTAGACATGATCGTTCTGCTTGTCACACGGTTGTCGCTTCCAATCTATATCTGACCATTGCACTTGTGACTAATTAATTTCAATCATTTCACGGCCTAATGGAACAGGTAACACTAAGTGAAACTATTGATCAAACTTTCAGAGCTGATTTTAATCAGTATGTATGTGAATATTTGATTGATGAGGTTTAATTAAAATATACTTCGAATGAAGATTAAATGGTTTATCGTAAAAGTTAAAAATTGGCAACACCGTCAGCTCACGAGTCTGCGTTATGAAAAGATGAATAGAAGCACGGAAAAAGAAAAGGCGAGTTCGTTCTGTTCTTAGAATATCCGTCCTAGAGTAAAGACGCTTGACAAGGTTTTTCTGATGAAAAACTGATACAGGTAATAAATGAACTCTTTATCGAAATTTTGATGATTTGATTTTTCAATTATGATAATTTAAATTGTAGCTTGTGCTGATTGAACTGAAAACTAGATTATTTCTATTTACAGGTGAAAAGGTATCTTTAACAAATTCTCTTAAGATTTTTCGATGTTTGAGAAATATCAAATTTTGATTTGGTGAGACGCCATTTGCTCTCAGTCTGAATTTTTGTATCTTTGTATCTCTCTTTCAGCTAAATTGGAGCCTTCCAGAAGTCCATATTATCTATTCGTAAGGTGTTTTGACCAAATTTGAGTTATGGGTGCTTGAAGGAGATCCACCAGAATTATTCTGATATTGTTCATTTTGAAGTCCCAGAGAAAATACTTTCCAGCTGAGATTAAGGATTGATTCTGTTTTGGGGTGAGTAGCAAACTTTTATGAATCTAGATATTCTATACTGAGTATGGTTAAACCTCCAGTATAATGTTCCACGTTGGTTTCAGGTTGCTATGTATAGATAGGTAGATGAGTTCAGTTGTTAATAATATTGGTATTTTTGAGCATCATTAAATGCATGTTATCTGAATTCGATTATTGACTTCATATAAAACTTTTTTTCGACGACGATGGGATCATCCCATGAGTAATCCAAAATTACATGTTCGGTAAGTTTGCCAAAGTATTGCTAGTCGAGCTCGCAATATGGCTACCTATGGGAACATTGAACACTTCGATCCCTGTGATCCCGCTAGTTGGGAAAGTTACCAAGAAAGAATCGAGTTCTTTTTTTTGGCGAATAACATTCAAGAAGATGAAAGGAAGAAATCTGTTTTCCTGAGTATTTGTGTCCCGGATACATATTCTATCTTACGTTCGCTGATAGCTCCCGAAAAGGTGAATGCGAAATCATTCAACGAGTTGATCCGAGTACTTAACCAACATTTCACGCCGAAGACCTCAGAAATGGTTTGTCGTTTCAAGTTTCACAGACGCAATCAAAAAGCTGGTGAAAACATTGCGGTATTCATCAAAGAACTGCGTCATCTTGCAGAAAATTGTGCTTGTGCTGATACTTTGGAAACCATGATGCGGGATCGATTAGTTTGTGGAATCCTAGATGAATCCCTTCAGCGGCGTTTGTTAGCAGAACAGTATCTCACGTTTGCTAAGTCTCAGGCTCTCTGCCTGGCACATGAAACTGCATCTTATAATCTCACTGTGCTCAAAGAATCTTCGACTCACACTCACACATTCAGTGAATAAGATGGAAGATAACAAGAAATGGTTTGATCGGAAGAAGAGATGTTTTCGATGTGACAGTGAGCCTTTGCCAGACACATGTGCTTTCAAAAACACAAAGTGTCGTTACTGTGACAAGCTAGGTCATATAGAAATAGTACATTATATACCGCGGGACTGAAGTAGTACATTTAATCCTGAAGGTAAAGTTTATGGCCCGACCGCAGGGAGGGCCATAATTTACCTGAAGGATTAAATGTACTTCAGTCGCAAGGTATATACGATACTTTTCGTACTTCCGGTATGATTTTATTAATTATTTCAATAATTTCAATCAGTTTTTTCTCTCTTCAACTCATTTAATAAACTGTCTTTAAAATAAGTTACCATAGTAACATTGCGTTGTGACAGTTATAATTTAGAAACATTGTCATTACTAGTGTCATTGTAAAGAAACATTGTTATTGATAATTATTGGTATCATGAGTGAAGAAGGTGTATCTGATATTGATAAAAGAGCAGCCGAAGTAGGTGAAGAATTGTTACCACCGAAATCTAGAAAACTATACGAGCAGCAGTACGATGCTTTTAAAAAGTGGTGCCGCTTAAAAAATGTGAGACAACCTATACTGAAAATGCGCTGTTAGTCTACTTCGATGATAAATCAAAAGCGGTTTGTGCCTCAACTCTCTGGGCACATTACTCAATGCTGAAATCGGTTATTAACATTAGAGAAGATATTGATATAAGTAAATTTCCAAAATTATTAGCTTTTTTGAAGAGAAGAAATGAGGGATTTAAGCCAAAGAAGTCAAGAATTCTCACGTCTGAGCAGGTAGATCAGTTCTTACGGGAGGCTCCGGATGATAAATATTTAATGCTTAAGGTAAATTTGGAAATTTGTTTTTATTCAGAAATTTTAAGAAATCAATTTTTTTGTAGGTTGCACTTATTTTGGGCGTTGCGGGAGCTTGTCGTGGAAAAGAGTTGGTTGATTTAGAAATCGACGATGTGAGAGATTTGGGCGATTCCTTCCTAATTGCGATTAGAAACACCAAAAATAAAATTGACCGAAATTTTGTGATCAAAAATTCAGAAAACAGTGCCATCAGTTTTGTGGCGATATTTCGGAAATATGTGGCATTGCGAAAGACAGGGACAACTCATTCAAAATTTTTTGTTCAATACATCAACAAAGAATGTACTACGCGAGTAGTAGGAAAAAACATGTTTGGTACATTTCCACGGCAAATAGCAGCTTTCTTGAAATTAGAAAATGCGA